TTTTTTTTTTTTTTTTTTTTTCTATATTTTATATTTCACGATTTTAATTCTTATTGGTTAGTTGTTTTTTTATAATATGATCATCTGGTGGATCAGATGTAATGTACGCGTGAGGTAAGAAAAAATATTACGTCACAGATCTTATACGTGAGAATGTTACAATGTCACCTCTGACGTGACACGGTACGTCCATTAATAAAATATTATTGGTTCGTATTAATTCTTTGCGGTACCACGATAAACTGGATGATAAAATTTATAGTGGTTCACTGAAAACTTATCATTTAATTTTTTTCTTTGATGGTTCTTTTGTGTCACAAATGGATTTCGGGCTGGAATTGAAAGAAATTTTTTCGCTTCGCTCTAAACGTATAATAAAATGATTTAAAATGAACGAGATACGAAATATTTAAACGATTGAACGTCAATCGATTACGTTATTGCTATTAATCTATAAAGTTATATAAACATTGAAATTAATAACGATGATCTCGAAAACAAAAAAAGATAAGAAAAAAAAAAAAGATAATAATATCTACAATTAGAGAACTTAAATAGATTTTTCATTTCATTTCAAAAATATACGAAAGATTATCATGGCAAGTGATATTACACAATTAGATAATCTGGTATCATTCATTTATTCGATTGATTCGTGATAAGCGAGGGAAACGACGATCAGACGTTAAGAAATGTTTCCATCTCTGTAATAAATATCTTGTACAAAGTTTAGAGAATAAAAAAAAAAAAAAAAAAAAATAAGAAAAAAATAAGCGTATATATAGATGCTACTTTATTTTATAAGTTAAGAGGAAAATAAGCAAGCAATAACGGTCCAGAACATTATGATAATTGAAAATGAATAAGAGTTTCCTGACACTGACTGGTAGAGTACATACGCGACGATGAATCATGCCTAGCAACTTACCGAGTCTCGTGAGTTTAATAAAATCGATTGATCGATGGATCGTGCTGTTTTTTTCTTGCACTTTGATCTATAAATTGTTTAATTCTTAAAAAATTCCTTATGCGAGGTTAAGAAAAAAACTTAATCGTTGCAAATCACTATGATTTACGAATATTGCAATTTCGATATTGTGTGCACTGAATATAAATAGAACAATGAGTCAAAGTCTAAAGACAATAATAAGGAATGTATAATGTTATTGACAAGCTAAGCGATGAATTAATTTGATTGGATTATATATATATATACGAAGACTATAAAAAAAATATTATTCAAAATTACAATTTATTTTATAGGGTTTGGTAATTAACTTTGGCAATTAAGAAAAAAAAAATTCTATGTATGAATAAAAGAAAACTTTTCGTGGCACTGTTAAAATTATCTTTTTCCAATAAATGAGGTAAATTTAAACGTGTTTTATAATTGATCCCAACATGTTTTTAAAAAATTTTATTATTACCTTTGCCAATATTTAAGTGAACTTATCTATTCTGACGATATTTCACAGAAATATGAAATGATGATTCGAAGAATCATTTTTATTTTTGTTTAACGATAATCTGTGTTCGTCAATCAAGGAAAATTATATTTTTTTGACGTAGAAAAGAAATTGGATAAGATATGTGATTAAAATTTGGAATAAACGGAATAACTGAATGCGGTATGCAAATAACCGGTGTGTGGAATAGATTCGAACGAAGAGATATTCTCAACTTGTCGCATGAATCAAATGCATCGTAGCAGATTCAATCGATAACAGATATTTATGCATTCCCCGAGCTCGGGTTACGTTCGTTCTCCTTGACTTTCAATTCGAGTCTATTCGTCTTGAACTGTAAGAAACGAATATACTCACCGTATAGGGGATGATGTTGAAGTTTAACCTCGTTCTCGAGCCATCCTCGCTTTCGCTATCTGTATCTGAAAAATATAGAACCCTGAATACAAACTTGATTTAGTTACATTGCTAAAATTATTAAAATTTATTAAATATACTCGTGAATAACAAACAACTTTTTTTTTCAATTTATTTTATTACTATTTTATTACTATTCTGTAAATATACTCGATTTGCTTTATTTTTATAAAAATATAATATATAATAATTTTATATTATATATTTTATTAAATTAATATTAATAATTAGATTTAATATATAATAATTTTATAATAATTTGTTATTTAACAAAAATCAACTGAAAAATGATCCTTAATCATTTTTCATGAATCACAATTTCTATTAGGTAGTTAAGAATTATATTGACGTTTGTGGCAAAAATGCAATTATTTACATGCAATTAATTACATGTACGTATGTTTCCTGATTTATTCACAAACTATTCACGACCATTACGTGCGAAATCCATCATTGCGTACTACGAATTATAATTTTCTCTTTTTACTTTTCTCGGTATCCAATATTGGAAACGAAGAAGCACGAAAATGCAGACGAAGCAATCAATATGATCGTTCGATTTCCTCGTTTCATTTTCTCCCGATTATCACACACGTTGGTTCATTAATTTTCTCGAACGAACCTTCCTTCTTCTCGATTTCCACAAGCCTACGTGCCTACGTGCTCCAAGATTCTAAATTGAACGAACCATGTTCCCGAAACATAATCCCCGTTTCCTTATAATCACACACGCCCGTTCTTGTCATCACGATTTCCTTCGAAGTACGCAGAACTCGATACGATCGAACTCGTATTGTTGTTCCTTGAATCGGCCGTAAGTTTTCGAATTCATCAAGCTAGACAACAGTTCTCTTCGAAATTTACATACAACGATCGGTGTGTGTATACGTGACTGGAAGTTTCACGCGGTCGGTGATTTTAATGCTCGCATAAAATAGCTCTTGCTCGTGATGGAATTAGCTATATACGAAGTATTTAGAGGAGAATTTGATTTCATTCTTTGAAAAAAATTTTCTACGAAGATTTTGCCACGAAGATATGATTAATGCTTAATTTTTCTTTTAAAATTAAATATTGTACGATTAGTTTGGCAGAAGTTACAAGTGAATGATATAGAATGATTAGAAGTTAGAAGTTTTGGGAAATATTTTGATTGATTTTGATAAAGACAAGATTTTTTTTATTCTAATAAACAATTTTTAAGTGTTCATGAATTTTTATTATACAACGTTGAATAACGCGTTTGTAGAATCAATCGATTAAATTTGACATTATTCGATGCACTGTTCAGAGATCCACATGAGAAATGGTACACCTTTTGATGAAAGGTCACTGAAATGTAACTCGATAGCGCACGAGTGATTAGATATTATTAAATTTATTCGAGAAGATATCTACCGTAAGAACGATTCTCTTTCAATTTTCTAATCATCAACATTTTGATTATGATTCTTCGAAATTCGAAAGTGCAGAACGTTAACTCTTAGTCTATCATTCATTTTTATTCAAGATATTAATACGTTGCTTAGTAATTTTCTTTGATTCGTGTAGAATTTAATTCGTACACTCGATTCAGTCAGTTAAATTCCAGGTAAAATAAGAGGGATGAAGATTTAAATCAGTTTTATTTCAAATTAGTTTTTAACTCAAACTCAAATTATTCGATTCGATTAATTAAGCTGCACAAAAGACAAACTGATCAACTCTATTGTAACCAATTATTCGATTTCCGAAATAATTAAAGATTGATCCTTTGTTTTGAAAGTTTTGGAAATTATTAAAAAAAATTTCAAAATTCTCGAGCATTGAGTTT